ACTACTTGTTATTTGTTTCATAACTTTTAAGGGAGAGGGGGTGTCCTTCCGGCATCCTGATTAGTTCTCTAATAAAGGAATATTTCAGAAGTTTATATATAAATGTAAGATTAATAATTTTTTTTTTATTAATTTTTTTCAGAAGCATTGCACAACAAGAAAAAGATATAAGACACTACAAGACATTCCAAGTGATTCTGAATAAGACAATTGATGGACTTTTCAAATGTATTCTTAAACAAATCAAATAATTGATGCAAAATAGTGTTTTGCTCTTTATCTCTTAAGCCAATTATTGACTTTGGATGTAATCCTATTAGTAGTGTAACATTTTTTGTTTAGATAGAGAAGTTATTTTGAAAAATCTGAATTTGTGACACAAGTTTAAGTAAATGTAACCTAAACTTTTGTTTGCTTAACGCCCAGTGGCAAATATTTCATGCATGTTCCTGATGACATGTGCATGATGTGTATAAGATAGGTAATAAAGATTGAGAGTGAAAAACTAAACATTATACCATTGGCATTGCGGTAGGAATATGGACTTTATTGCAATGCCTTTCTGTCAATCTATCTTTGTCCAACAAATATTTTCATTACTGTTTTCCACAAACCTACTGAACAGGATGAGTTCATATTTGGTTAGCTGCTTGATAATGATGAACTGTGATGTGTGAGCATTTTTACACGCCATTATTCAGACAGCCCATTAGTCCGAAAGCTCATCAGTCCGACGGCCCATTGTTCCGACAGCCCATTGGTCCGACATCCCATTTTTCCGACAACCCAATAATCTGACAGCCAAATAATCCCGACAACCCATTGCTCTGAGAGCCCAATAATCCGACAACCCATTAGTCCGACACTTAGAATTAATTATTGCGCGGTATCAGGGTAAAACAAAAATATATGTCTGTCTATATTATAACGTATATGCTATTACATATGTACAGAAATAGTTCCGTATATATTATATAGGTAGTTCGATTACTTTTAATATACTTAATTCGAAATCTGTATATACGTAATTAAAATTAGTGTTTAGAGGTATATTATTCAATTATGTATTTTTGCGCCTTTTCGTATATAAATCGTTTATGTATTTACAGAAATCAAAAAACGGATATACAGAACTATATTTCCGTATGGATAGACTTCGAATCTCGTATACGGAATTATGATCGACGTAACAATTCTTTACATACGCAAATACAGACTATGCAGAATTTTAATTGCGTATATATATGCAGAATTCGAATTACGTTATACAGGGAATTATTTATACAGATTCTCATCAAATTTAAATATCTTCAACATATTACGCGGCGCCAGAATATGGTTTGCTTTATAAAATACAGAATAAATACAGAATATATTCTGTATATTGGATATTGTGTGGCTCCAATATGGCCAAATCCGACCCGCCAACTTGGGGATTAGGTGGGCGTCTCATTTAAAACAACCTACGACTTTTAAAAATAATTCTTAAATTTGCTTGAAAGTGAGGCAAACTGATGCATTTTTTAAACGCGACCTGATGGGGGGGGGGGGGGGGGGGGGGGGGGGTATTCTACTGTGGCCCCGTACCCGTATTGTGATGCGTTAACATATACTTTACATTTTACAAGATATTGTCAATAACAGTAATATCTTTTTCTTCAATATTCGCATTTTGAAATTGACCTTCAGCATCACAGGCTTTCTAAAGAGACATTGACGCTAAAATAAAAAAAAAAATCTGTTCATTAGTGTTATGCACATGCAGTCAGTTTGCCTCAACAATTTTCTTGACTTATCCATTGACTGCTAGACAAACTAAGCGTTAGTCAAGAAGAATGGAAATCATTTGACAAAGACACACGACGGGGGGACAAGAAAGACACAGTGTCTTAGATACATGATATTTTTCTTAGCTGTTATTGGCTCTTTGAACAAGCTGTCAGTAACTGCGATAACTCCCACATCTGTACTTTGTGTTTTTGTTGTTGTTGTGAGGGATGTAGAAATACCCTGCCACGTCCGGTCTGTGTTTTTTTTTTTAGATGTTTTTTCTGCTTTGTATCGATCTGATAAGCCCTTTTCAACTAATTTTTATACGACCGCAAAAAAAATTTTGCATTCGTATAATGGTATCATGTCGTCGTCGGCGTTCGAAGACACATTTAGTTTCCGGACAATAACTTTAGTTAAAGTGAATGGACCTCTATGAAATTTTACCAGAAGGTTCAATACCACAAAAGGAATGTTGGGATTGATTTTTTGGGGTTATGGTACCAACAGTTCAGGAATTAGGGGCCAAAAACAAGCATTTTTGTAGTTTCAGGACAATAACTTGTATGTAAGTGTATGGATCTCTCTGAAATTGTACAACAAGGTTTCAAGGGAAGGCTTGGATTGAGTGTGGCGGTAATTGCCCCAAACGTTCAGGAATTAGGGGCAAAAAAGGGGCGAAAAACAAGCATTTTTTTTAGTTTCCAGACAATAACTTATAGTGTTTAAGTGTATGGATCTCTCTGAATTTATAATACAAGGTTCCATACCACAAAGGGAAGGCTGGGATTGTGTTTGGGGGTAATTACTCCAAGGGTTTTTTTTCAAATTTTTTTGGGGGTTCATATTTTTTTTCCTCGAGATTTTTTCAAAATTTCAAATTTTTTTTCAAAAATCTTTTTTTTTTTGAGTGGGGGGATAATTTTTAATATTTTTTTTTTTTTTTTTTTTAATTTTTCATTTTTACATTGATTATTTCTGATTTATACATAAAAGCAACAAATACTGATATGGTAGGAGATACACACCAGACAGGGCGTGTAAATTACTATATATAGCAGATTAACAGTTTTGCCAATAACAAGAAATCTTCAATCGCACAGTATTGCGAAAAAAATTTAGCAAGAAATCTTCAATTGCGCAGTACTGCGCAATAGCAAGAAATCTTCAATTGCACAGTATTGCGCAAAAGCACAGAATTGCTCAATAGTAAGAAATCTTCAATTGCACAGTATTATGCAATAGCACAGTTTTGCGCAATAGCAAACAATCTTCAATTACACAGTATTGCGCAATAGCAAGAAATCTGCAATTGCACAGTATTGCGCAATAGCAAGAAATCTTCAATTGCACAGTATTGCGCAATAGCACTGTATTACACAATAGCACATCATTGGGCAATAGCACAGTATTGCGCAATATCACAGAATTGCGCAATAGCAAGAAATCTTCAATTGCGTAGTATTGCGCAATAGCAAGAAATCTTCAATTGCACAGTATTGCGCAATAGCATAGTATTGGGCAATAGCACAGTATTGCGCAATAGCAAGAAATCTTCAATTGAAAAAAAAAAAATTCAATGGGATTAATTTAAAGTCTTTAATTTTTGGGGGTTCAAACCTTGTATTACTATTTTGGATATTGGGCTCCATTTTCAAATTGGTCTACATTGAGGTCTAAAGGGTCCAAAATTAAACTTTGTTGATTTCATCAAAAACTGAATTATTGCGGCTCTATGATATGCTGAATCTTATTGTGCATTTAGATTTTTTATTTTGGGCCCTGTTTTCACATTAGTCCATATTATTATAAGGTTTGAAGGGTCCAAAATTAAACTGTGTTTGATTTCAACTAAAATTAAATTTTTGGTGTTTTTTTATGTGCTGAATATAAGCATGTTGTTAGATTTTGGATATCAGACCATACTAGGTAAATCAAATGTCCCATTTCAAATTTTAAGATCTTTGACCACATTTTTTGTGTGTCAGAAACCTTTATGTCAAAAATTTGATCACAATCCAAATTCAGACAGTATCAAGCTTGTATATTGAGTCCAAACTTGCCCCAACTGTTCAGTGTTTGATCTCTGCGGTCGTATCAGGCTGCGCTCGGCGAAACATTTTATTATAGTTGGTTCTTATGTTGTACTGTTACACCACCGTTCCAGGTTTGTGTATGGTTGGCGCCTTCAAACATGTCTAACCCCGCCACATTCTTTAGGTGCCTGTCCCAAGTCAGGAGCCTGTAGTTCAGTGGTTGTTGTTGGTTCATGTATGTCATATTTGTTTTTCGTAATTGTTTTGATATAAATTATGCCGTTAGTTTTCTCAGTTGAATTGTTACATATTTTTAATGTGGGGACCTTTTATAGCCGATTATATGGTATGGATTTTTCTCATTGGTGAAGCCCGTACGGTTGCGTATAATTGCTTACATCTACTTCATTTAAACTTTGGTAGATAGTTGTCTCATTGGCAAGCATACGACATCTCCTTATTTTTATAGTACACAAGAACAAACAATAGACACTTAAAACTAGTTAAACCAACGTATATATATATTGACCTCCATTTGATTTTGTTTTGTTATGATTGTTTTTCACCAAAATATAAAAATAAAAAAGAAACCAATTGTGATACATACAGCCATACATTAAGAATAATGACCCTTGATTTTTCTAACATAAATAAAACTTAGTTGAGTGATACAAAGGGTTGATAGGGTTATCCAACCCTGATATATTAATTTATGTAGTTAATAGTGATGAATCCTCACCCCCTTGATACGAAAGTTGAAACCGAAGATCTAGTAAAAACAAGGTAAATCAAGAGACAAAAACAAAAAACGGGGACTAGAAACAGCACAGAATGACAATGGACACACAAACGCCGAAATATAAAGACAAATAAAATAGAAATTCAACTTCCAGTACAAACTTTGCTGAATCCAAACAGTGAAAAGTAATACTTTACTATCATTTCCCCATTTTCTTACAAAATGCAATTATTATTGAGTTGTACAAATATATATGACGATGGTTTTTTTCTTTATGTCAAATTGTTTTGAACTCCTTAATTACGTTCCTATTGGTCTGACGGTTACGTAATTAAGGAGTTCAAAACAATTTGACACAAAGAAAAAAACATCGTCATATATATTTGTACAACTCAATAATAATTGCATCAGTTTTGTAAGAAAATGGGGAAATGATAGAAAATATTACTTTTCACTTTTTGGATTCAGCAAAGTTTGTACCGGAAGTTGAATTTCTATTTTAAAGTGTAAATTAGAGAATTTACATCTAAACCAAATTGAGCCCTGAAATGCATCTACATTCAAAGGACTTTCTATTCATAAACTACGGTAAAATGTATATTTCATCCATATAATTTGGTTTCATAAAGAGTTTTTTTTCTATTTTTTCCATTGCATCAAAACTTGAAAATAATCACCAAATAACGTAAATGACAAAGTACAGATTCATATCTTTCTGTTGCAGAATGGCTGGAATCAAACGTCCTCTTTTAACCTCAGAAACTGCATGGCAAAATCTACAAAAATATTATGATGAAAATGGATCAAAAATTAACATGCCTGACTTGTTTGCCAAGGATCCAGCCAGATTTGAGAAATTTAGGTTTTTATTACTATTAGTAACAAAACACATCCTGGTTAACATGTTGACATCAGCTTCAGTTGAATATTGTTTTCTCCAAATATCTGTCTGACTTCAATCATAAAGTTGCTGTGTAGGACGTTATTTGAATAGGGTAACTCGCCATTAAGTCACATATTTTCAAATAATTTTTCTGTCACGACAAACTAACATACTAAATGCAATGTGATATTGGCACATCATAATTAAGAAAAATCCAATGGAGAAGGTATATTTAGTCCCCCGCGGGTCGCCCTATAGTGATCAGTCCGTCCGTCCGTAACAAATTGTGTACGCTCTATATCTAGAGAGCCGTTATGATTTCATACTTTATACTTGACATGTATATCAACCAACACCAGAGGGTGTGTCATAATGTTTGTACAACTTCCTAGGTCAAAGTTCAAGGTCAGCGGGGCCAACAGAGATGGCTCCTATGTCAAAGATGTCTAGTTATGGTTATTTTTTTTTTGGCCCCTTGAATTCGACAGTTAAAAAATATTTTGAATCTATCAAATAACAATCTTCAGACAGTCAGAGAGATGATACTTCAACAAGTTATTTACACAATCATTCTTTGGAAAATGTAACAACAGCAAAATATCTTGGGGTAACCATCACCTATAACCTTAAATGGGATGTGCACATTGACAACATGTGCAAGAAAACTAATAGCACTCTAGGCTTTCTAATGAGGAACCTGAATATTAGCTCAACATCCATTAAAGAGCAGGCATACAAGTCCCTTAATAAGACCATCACTAGAGTATGCTTGCTCTGTTTGGGACCCTTACTTACAACAAGACATAGATAGCATTGAAAAAGTTCAAAGGAGGGCTGCCCGTTTTGTTACAAACAAATATAGAAATACATCAAGCGTTTGTAACATGTTACAACACCTGGGATGGCGCAGCCTCTCTGACAGAAGAAAAGATTCAGGATTGCATCGTAATTCTATATAAAATAGAACATGAAAAGGTTGCAATACCTAAAAACTATAAATTATTTCCACAAACAAGACAAACAAGACAAACAAGACATTCACATTCAAACAGCTTCCAACTCCCATCGTGCAAAACACAGTACAGAAAAGAATCTTTTTTCCCGAGAACATTAACCGACCGGAACAAAATACCCGATAGCATCATAAATTGCACATTAGTAGACTCTTTCAAATCTCCAATCTCAAAGCATAAATATTAAACTCAACTATTCACATCAAACTAATTGTACAGTCGTTTTTCTCATTTTTCCTCTATTTTTAATTAGTATATAGATTAATCTATGTCTTGTTGTAAGTTATCCTCCTGTGCCATTATCGTCAATTTGTTGAAGGCGGTCACTATATGGTAGATGTAGATCATAATTATAGACAATACATTCAATGTTATTCATTAAACATTGTTTAATGATATATATATATATAAAAATAAGTCTAAATTGTAAACAACGTTCAAACCTATGATTGCGTTGGATAAAAACCGAAATTTTTATACGTGTGCATGCAAAATAAATTTCTTGGTAGAGGGGTCTAAATACAGCACAAACAACATTTTCCAAAAGACCAAAAAAGTAAAAAAGTATATTTAAACAAAACGCATTTGACTAACAGGTCGAACAACGGATGTTCTCAAACCCTGCTGACTGCCATTGGCGATTGCCAAATAAACGGATCACAAGTTGTAACAAAGTGGATCTTTATTATTAATTTAATACCAAACAGAAAACAATAAACTTGCGGAAAAGATGGTATACCGCAAACATGAGGTGCAAAAATTTGTACACCATATCCGGATTTCGACAATTAATGTCTCTTCAGTGATGTTCGGAATCGAAACGGTATTTGGAAGGCCATATAATTTACCTCAATTTAAGATAGACTCTTGAATTTTGAAAGAGTCGAAATAGGATGAACTGAACGGATCATATAAACCCAAAGGAAAATATAATACAAGCCCAAACGAAAAAATATAAATAAGTCAAAATTGTAACAACGTTGAAACGTATGATTGCACAAATTGTACAAATTTTTGCGTCTCATGTTTGCGCTATACCATCTTTTCCGCATGTTTATTGTTTTCTGTTTGGTATTAAATGAATAATAAAGATCCATTTTGTTACATCTTGTGATCCGTTTATTTGGCAATCGCCAATGGCAGTCAGCAGGGTTTAAGAACATCCGTTGTTCGACCAGTTAGTCAAATGCGTTTTGTTTAAATATACTTTTTCCACTTTTTTGTTTTTTTGGATAATGTTGTTTGTGCTGTATTTAGACCCCACTACCAAGAAATTTGTTTTGCATGCACACGTATAAAAATTTCGGTTTTTATCCAACGCAATCATAGGTTTGAACGTTGTTTTCAATTTAGACTTATTTATAATTTTTCGTTTGGGCTTGTTTTATATTTGCCTTCGGGTTTATATGATCCGTTCATCCAATTTCGACTCTTCAAAATTGATGTGTCAATGTGGTAAATTAATTTTCCAAATGTTTGTCTTGTTTCAAAACTTATGTTCAGGTATTAATACCGTATTTGCATATAGATGTTATAAAGCTTTTGTGATCATTTGACATAATCCAAATAAGTTTTAAGTATTCTCAATTTTGGATATTTAGTAAAAAGACTATCAATTATAAAGTTTCTTGATGCTGCAAATTAACAGACTAATATATGATTAAGGACATTCCAATACAAAAAGGAGCTCATCCTTAATCACATTCAAATTGTAATATTTATCTTAATATATATCTTTCTAAATTATTAACATCACTTTTATCAGCAATGAAAGCCGGACTTCAAAATTATTGTGAAACTACCTATTCTAGAGGTGACACGGATCAGATGTGGATATTTAAAAATTCCAAAAATCTGTTAGAGTTCATACAATCTAAGACTTTCATCTTGCAATAGTATTAAAACATTTGACTTTTCTACACTTAACACAAGTATTCACAATTCCAAAATAAAAGACAAATTGAAAGAGTTGGTCCTGCTTTGTTTCATAAAAAATGGCCAACGTAGATACAAGTATCTTGTCTTAGTGAGGTATAAATCGTACTTGTAAAAATATCCGTTTATAAATTTTGAAATTATAAAGAAACTAAGGTTTCAACTCCCTAAGGCAAAGTTGACCTTAGATGAATTTGGCTATTTGTTTTAGGTATTTTTGTCATATAGCTCTTCAACTGTTTCGGTATTTATACATCCCTCGGATTTCAAATATTTGGCATTGAGCGTTCCTGATGAAGGTAGATCCAGAAAAGCGCTTCGGACGCATGAAATTATCAAACGTGTTGTTTTCAATTTTTTACATTACTGGGTCGATACCTCTGCTGGTGGACTATCAGTCCCCGAGGGTATCATCAGCTCAGTAGTCAGTACTTCGGTACTGACATGATTTATAACTAACTTTTCTAAAAAAATATCCGTTTATAAATTTTGAAATTATAAAGAAACTAAGGTTTCAACTCCCTCAGGCAAAGTTGACCTTAGATGAATTTGGCTATTTGTTTTAGGTATTTTTGTCATATAGCTCTTCAACAGTTTCGGTACTTATACATCCCTCGGATTTCAAATGTTTGGCATTGAGCGTTCCTGATGAAGGTAAATCCAGAAAAGCGCTTCGGACGCATGAAATTATTAAACGTGTTGTTTTCATTTTTTTTTTTTGTAAAAATCACTCTTATTCAAACAAAAATTATCTGAAACTGGCATTATCAAGAGGCTTGATTTCTTGATTGACAACATATTTGTTACGTTTGGAGGACGTGTTTTTCAGCAAACAATCGGTATTCTCATTTGAACCAACTGTGCTCCTCTTCTTGCCGACTTGTTCCTTTATTTATATGAGGCTGACTTCATACAGGAACTTCATAGGAAGGAAGAAAAGAAGTTAGCGGTATCCTTTAAATTTGCTTTCCGCTATATAGATGATGTTCTCTCACTAAATAATTCAAAATTTGGTGACTATCTTGAACGCATGTTTCCCATCGAACTTGAGATAAAGGATACAACAGATACAGATAAGTCTGCCTCATATCTTGACTTACATCTTGAAATTGACAATGAGGGTCGTTTGAAAACAAAGCTTTACGACAAAAGAGATGATTTCAGCTTCCCAATTGTGAACTTTCCATTTTATGTAGCATTATTCCATCAGCGCCTGCATACCGCGTATAAATCTCCCAGTTGATTCCCATTTCCAGGGCTTGTATTTCCTATCATGATTGTCTTGATAGAGGGTTGCTGCTGACAAGGAAGCTATTAAACCAAGAGTTCCAAGTGGTGAAGTTATAATCATACCTTCGTAAATTTTACGGACGTCATCACGAGTTGGTTGACCGTTATGGAATATCCGTTTCACAGATGACAGCTGATATGTTCCAATTGTCGTAAGTAAAATCCTGTCACCGTTTCCCTCGACCTACCGAATTAGACGTATTACTGCGTTTGTACTAACATGAGTAACACGACGGGTGCCACATGTAGAGCAGGATCTGCTTCCGGAGCACCTGAGATCACCCTCATTTTTTGGTGAAGTTCGTGTTGCTCAGTCTTTAGTTTTTTATGTTGTGTTTTATGTACTGTTGTTTGTCTGTTTGTCTTTTTTTGTTTTAGCCATAGCGTTGTCAGTTTATTTTCTGCTTATGAATTTGAATGTCCCTTTAGTATTTTTTGCCTCTCTTTTACAAATTCTTTGATATATGTTTGTATTTTTTATGAATTTTTCATTATTTTATGACATAAATTCAGAATTAGTTAAAATTAAGTGGAAATTACAGATAAATGGTGACTTAAATAGAATTTCTAAGGAAAATTAAATTATGACATGTATAAAAGTCATGATAATCTCGATATGTGATGTGTGTAAACTTAAAATCTATAAATTCACCTTGATGAACTTTTCTATGTTAATTCATTTTAACTGTTTATTTTTCAGTATTAACCTGCTGACAAAAAATGGAGAGTTGCTGCTTGATTATTCCAAAAATTTGATCAATGATGAAGTACTCAAGTTGTTATTCCAACTGGTAAATTATTCTTTTTTTTGTCGCAATATCAACCAACTATCTAAGATTTTTGTTTACATAAATCAAAGCATATGTTGATAAGAATTAGATTTATTTTCATAAAAAGGAAGCCTAGCCATTTCTTGCACAAGCTGCATTTTTATAGTAGATTTTGTTGATTTACATTGTATCATTGTACATTTTACTAGATCTTGACCTACAATGTATCACTTAAAGACTTTAAGAAACACCTGACAATATAACAAACATTAAGAATGTTGTAAGGAAGAGAATACCAAAAGTTACAACAAAAAAAATCATAATTTGAAGAAAAAAGACAAAAAGACAAACAACAGTCTTCAAAACACTACATAGAAAGACTTAGCTACACAAACCCCATCAAACATCTGGATGAACTCAGATGCCCAGACTCTGGGAGGATATAGGCATCCAACTCCACATATGGCACTCGTCATCATGCGTCAAGTTGCTCTGACTCTTGAAGGATATACGCATTCTACTCCACATATGGCACTCGTCATCATGCGTCAAATTGCTCATGGAAAATACAAATTCGGTGATGTCAACATTAAGAAAAAGAGGACACGATTGTGACTTCGACAATTGGAACTTTTGTGCGGTCATTTTTAACACAGATATACTATAAAAGTCAACAAAATCGTGATGACGTTATGATTATACAAGGAAAAGTATTGTACAATTTACTGTATATATGTCAAAAGAAAGAAGAATAAATAACAGAATTTGAAGGAAAAAAAACAACATTGACAGCTCTTATAAAGTGCTGTCAGAAATAAATAGAAAAATAAGTCACATTACTGTTTTTCTTGCCGAATAGCTAAATAAAAATTTTCCTGATAATTCCTTTATGAAATTTATGTATATGAGTTATCTCCCCATTTATAGCAAAGTTTTTAAACTTTTGAAACAATAAAAACATTTTGTAGGGGTAAAAACTGTTGTTATCATAAGATAAAATCTAATAATTTTCTGCATTTAAATGAAAACTTTCACAAATATCTTGCATTTCTGTATCAAAATTTGCTTATTTCATTAACAATCTGGACCATCAGTGACCATGTGAGACCCTCATGGGTAGTCAAGGTTATTAAACTTCACTATCTTAACATCTGTTTACATAAAAAAAATATGTCATTTATCTGAGTGATGTTATGGCTTGTGAAGAACAAATACATGTTGCTCCTATATTGAGTTGAATATTTCTCCTTTCTTCACAAACAGATGTGTTGCTGACTCGGCTCACTTTGTTAACTAGAGCTTGGAATACCTTAGCATTATTTCTCATAAATGATTTACATGTATCTCAGTAAAGATATGAACCCCTGTCAAGGGCGTATGATATACATTTATCATGGTATTACATATGGTGTAGCAATTTCTTCTTTTTTCATTGGTTATTACGATCACATGTTTTAAAGGGTATTTAAGTATATAGACGATATGATTCTATTTATAATATATTGACTGTCAATATTAAAAATCTTGCAAAATACAGTATAAATTGCACAGAAAGAACATTGAAGTCTATTTCCATAATACACTATTTACATATGTTATTTATAAATTAAGGACTTTCTCTCAGTCAATTTGGAATATTAAGACCTGTTAGATTATGTTGAACCTCGGACTTTGTACTCGGTCAATATAATGTGAACAGGTCCTTATATAAGGTTATATTTCTTGTCAAAAGTCCATAATTGATAAATAATGTATGGGAAATACTTTCAAAATATTTAAAAATTACCCAATGAAAACTTTGAAGTTTCTTCAAGTGTTCTAAACAATTTAATGGTAACATAATTTACAAATAACAAAAAGATGATGAGTGTTCTTAATCATGTTGATAAGAAATGTATTTTAAGGTTAGAAATATGCAAAACTTCTAATATGATCTCAAAAGTTTTAGAAGACAGCATATTTTTAAACAGGTACAAACTTCATTGGTCTTAATAATCAGACTGTGTCAAAATACATAAAAATTAAACAAATTATAACAAAACGTAATTGTTTAATGATATTCTTGTAGAGATATCTACCCATTAAAATGCTTTAAACAATAGGAACAGGATAAATAACATGTACAAAAGAACACTTCGTAAATTTAATGCATCTGAGGCACTTCTCTAGATTAACCTTCATCAGGAACACTGAAAGCCAAATACAAAGTGTGAATATTTTATAACTAAGACTTTTTCCCTATTACAGGCAAGAGACCGTAAAGTAGAAGAGATGAGACAGGCTATGTTTAGTGGCGAGAAAATCCATTTTACAGCAGACAGAGCTGTACTTCACATTGCCCTGAGAAACAGATCAAATACACCTATTTTAGTCAATGGCAAAGATGTAAGGCATTGTTGAGGATTTGTGTTAAAAATTATTTACCTTCAGATGTCACATAGGAAAAAAATATGAATAACATCAAAGTATTTTCGGGGTATGGGGGCATCCATAAACATCTGATTTAGATTGAACTGCATTGACCTCTCACCTGGGGTAGAAGATGAAACTATTCACCTGCCTAGGTAGAAAAAAAGAAAGAAATCAATTGAAGAATTGAGTTGAGGTCAAATATACATGTTTTGCTTCTTTTGGAAAGTAAAATATTGTACATATTATATATTGTTCAAATTCATGAAATTGTTCTCTCAAATTTAAAATGAAGAAACCCCAAGAAAAAAAAGTTTTGTTGAAGATGTCGGGCATTTAGGGAGATAACTTTTACTGGGTAATTTATTTCATAGGTGATGCCTGATGTGAACAAAGTGTTACAGCACATGAGAGAATTTACAGAGGAGGTTATCAGTGGAAAGTGGAAAGGTTATACAGGAAAATCTATAACAGATGTTGTAAATGTTGGTATTGGTGGATCAGATCTGGTAATTATCTCCCTTGATTACAATCAATAGTGTGGATTTTTACATAAAAAATATTTTCCTTGTTCTTGTTTATATACAAACATTTCCATGATTAGGAAATTTGCTTCATTTACTATTCTCAGTATATTAAGATTCTTCACTGAATTATCCTACAGTTTTCCATAGGTGGTATAGTCAAAGAACATATTGTGTGTTAAGACTAACATATGCAGATTAACTAATTGTACTTTTTAATTGTGAAATAAACCTAAATGGAATAAACTTTATTAAAATCACTATCTATCGATCAAAGTATACAATGCTTATATATAACTTTTATAAATAAAAAATTGATAAAGAATTTTAAAAAAAAGTCTTAAATTCATCAATTCTCAAGTTTGATCTTTTGGGAAAAGGAGTTTTACAAACGAAAAAGAATAAAGGAACAAAACCACCTTTCTCACAACTAATGCAACAGTTGCAAGTGTGAATCAGTTGCGGATCCAGGATTTTGAAAAATGGAGGGAGCACCAAGGTAACCTAAGGAGTGGGACTGGTAAAAAGTCTTTGTATGAACCATATATGTAGCTCTATAAGGGGCCTCTCTCCCCTTAAATCCACCTCTTGGAATGTTTCACAAATTCCACTAGTTTAACTGGATTTTGAGCAATTGTTATTGAACTAAAATGTTATAATTTTTGTCATTTATGGGAGAACATTTATGTTTAATTTAATGTTGTTTAAAAAACTTGATTTCAGGGTCCATTTATGGCAACAGAAGCTCTAGAACCATACCAGAAAGGGCCAAATGCCCACTTCATATCAAACATTGATGGTACACATTTAGCAAAGACCTTGAAGAATCTGAATCCAGAAACAACTTTGTTTATCATTGCTTCAAAAGTAGGTATTATAAAGAGCTGAGGTTATTTATTGATAGAACAAATTTCACCTTTTACCTTTAAAACAGTAATAGCTCTATTAGCTCACCTGGCCGAAACTAATATCTAATTTTACACATACTATGAAAGAAAGACCTAACTTATTACAGATATTAAAAAAAGATATATGTAGCAGAATAATATCTATCATTAAAGTATAGTCTTAACAATTTGTCCTTCTATTATTAAAATTTGTTAAAAATTGAGCTGTTAGTTAAAATTGACTTAATTTTGCGTAAAATAAAAAATAAAGCTTCTATGCAACTGTTCAAATATAAAAACCTACAACATGGACCATTTTGCTTTTTCAAATGTATTTGTTTCCTTTATTAGTACTATAACGCTTATATTCTTCAGACAAAATTTATAGTAAATCACTCTATCAGTATGTACATCAACTTAATTAAACACCATATCTCCATATTCAAAAATATAAAGTTGTATCTGTGCCTTAAAGAATATTGATATAGTTGACAATATTAATACTGGAGAGAATATTAATCTCTAGAATGTGGTCTTACCTATATTTACAAATATATATTTTCAGACATTTACCACACAGGAAACCATGACAAATGCTGAGTCAGCTAAAGCATGGTTTCTGGCCGTTGCTAAGGATGTAAGTAGCATTTTTAATTGTTGAAACTTTAACAAAAGAGAGGCGAGAGACACAAAAGGAACATTCTGACTCATAAGTCGAAAATAACCTGACAATGCCATGGCAAAAAAAAAGATCAAAAGACAAATAACAGTATACTAAACACAACAAAGAAAATTAAAGACTGAGCAACACAAACCCAACCAAAAACTCGGAGTGATCTCAGGTGTCAGGAAGGCTAACAGATCCTGCTCCCCATGTGGCACCCGTCGTGTTGCATTTGAAGGTGTAATACCACCAAATCATAGTACGTCACATCTTGTTGCATACGAAAAAGGGTCGAAAAAAATATTCTCTTGAATTTGACAGTTATAGGAAATAAATCCTACATTTCAGTGCAGTAAAAAATTTATAAGTCATAAACATATATCTTAGTTGTTTCAAAGCACCATTCTTTTTTTATTTGGTGTTTCTATAGAATATTTTGGAAACTTGAGGTTATATGGTTACACTACTGGAACAATGCCCCGTAGATTGGCCGTGAAAATGTCCGTAAAAATGCTGGTGATTTTTACAGTGTTTGTCACGGTTAATTTACGGTGGGCCGTGAAGCTTATTCGTGACAATGCCGTGGAATGACTGTCGTGAAAAGGCTGTGAAAAGGCCGTGAAGAGGTGCCACCTGAAAACTTGGGTGAAAATACCGTAGAATCCCTGTGAAAAAAATGTACGCCGTGAAAAAGTCGTGATAATGCATTATGTGCCCATTGTGAAAAGACCGTGAAATGTAGATATAGTACAGTATATTCCTTTATTTGTCGTGAAAAGGCCGTGAAAGGTGCCAACTGAAAACTTAGGTAAAGAAACCTTAGAAACCCTGTGAAAAACAAAAATGTTCACCGTGAAAAAGTCGTGATAAATTATGTGCCCATTGTGAAAAGACCGTGAAATGTACATGTACTACTGTGATAAACAGCCATTCACTGATTGTGAAAACTCCAGTAAAATGTTAAATGTATTTTTTCAGGCCATAATTTTAACAAAAAAATTAAATGCTGTTTCAATCAAGTGAAGTGAAATGCCTGAAAACCTAGTGTAAACATCTACAGACAACTTATTTAAGTACAATGCAAGTGAGACCATGAAAAACCATATTAAAATGCTGTATTTTTTGTAGTAATAATTGTGACAAAGAATAAAAATATTAATTCTAATAGAACTGTAGTAATTATGTAAAGAAAACATAAAAGCACACAAATGTCAATGTGATTAAGTAGCTAAAGTCAGCTGTAACATGTATTGTAGAAATTTTGTACATCTCTTGGGTCTGATTTTACCACTTCAGCAATATTTGTCTAATGTAATCCTTCACTTCACTGCCCTTTTGAATAACTATTCCAGAAAAACATTTATAGAAGTTCCTGTTAATTCCCAGGAAATACTTTTAACTGAAAAGCTCTTCTTTCCAACTGGATTCCTGAACTATTTTATATAAAGACTGCTATATCCTTTTGCTCTTCATTCCTAGAATAAATAAAGAAATATTACATATATTATACATGTATATAAAAAAACTATTTATATATTCAAATTAATTTTTGGCATTTATGTACATACATGTACTTAAAACAGCTACAATATTATTCCATGCAATACAGGACTTCACGGTTAATGACCCCATATTGAATAGGGGGCAGATTTTCATACTGGAGGTGAAAATGGTATGAAAAATACAAAAAACATCATTGAAACAGAACAGCCACTTGGAAACAAGCATAGGTTTTCCCATATTTTCATACCATTTTCCAGAAAAACTGCCCCCTATCCAATATGGCATCATTAGTTAAGGAAGTTCTGTATTGTCAACTTATATTATTTTTTTTAGATTTTTTTAAAGACTAGACACTTTTAAGACAGACTATTAAATTTAAATGTTTCTTTGAAGTAATAATATGTATGGCTAAAGCCAAACTTGTCTAGACTAAGTGGCGGTAATGAGTCAGAGCTATTTATTTTACAGGGGGCCAGGGGCGTAGCAACTTTTACTGCAGGCACATTCGCCATACCAATTATTTTTTAAACACCTCATTGCCATACCAATTATTCTTATGATATGGCACAAACCCTTCTAGAAAGGATATTTTGCCGTACAAATATTAAATACTTTCCCTGCTACGCCTCTGATTAATTCCTTTTGAACTCTTTGTCCCGACGGCCAAGTCAGAAAATACTTTAAATAGCTCCCGACACATTCAAAGGGGGTTACGCCTCTGATTATCAGAGTGAAATCCATTTCAGAGATACGTATTGCTATTATAATCATTTCCAATTATCTATAGATATAAGAAGATGTGGTATGAGTGCCAATGAGACAACTCTCCATCCAAGTAAAAATTTATAAAAGTAAACCATTATAGGTCACAGTACGGTCTTCAACACGGAGCCTTGGCTCACACCGAACAGTAAGCTATAAAGGGCCCCAAAAATTACTAGTGTAAAACCATTCAAACGGGAAAACCAACCGTCTAAACTATATAAAAAACGAGAAACGAGAAACACTTATGAACCACATCAACAAACGACAACTACTGAACATCAGATGTCTATGTCTACGTAGTGTACTGTACATAAATGTCATTTTTTTTTGTGACCAGTGTGGGGAAAAAGGACCCCCCCCCCCCTTTTCCCCAAATACATAAACAAAACAAAACCGTAATCGTATTTAAAGGATCCGGTAAGTCTTAGAAAACATTAACCGAAATTATTAAAGGAATCAAGTGCAACAGACTCAAATATAAGTGAATATATCACGCGCGGTTTCTGCAAATTCAGTGAAAATCAGTTCAATGTAAATGCTCACAAACGTCATCAACATTTTGGTGATATGATGCATAAAAGAATAAAATGTTAATAACTTAACTTACCTCAAACTTGATGTCACTCGTCTTGCATCTATAAAGTAAATATTAATCGACCTTCGGCGTCTTTCGCATAATTTTACAACCACGGAAATGTCACAATTACTCTAAAAGAAACACGAATCCGGATACGGTCTGATATTCCGGAAAGTTCTCGATTTTACATGTTTCGGTTCCAATTAAAATTAATGTTTACATTGTTTATAATAATGTACAGACGAGAAGCAAATCACTTTCTTTAAATACAAAATATTTATTGGCACAAAGTCATTAATTATAACAATGAATGGTTCCATTTAAACGCCAGTCCTGTACAGTAGTATTGCATATAATAATATTTAAACAGACATATATTTATAATGAAAAGTTTATAGGATATTTAGAAAAATGTGAGTGGAAATAATTAGACCATATTACAATAATCACATGGGATGTTTTAAATCTGAATTAGGATAAGAAAAAATTAACATGAAAAAATATCACGGCCTTTTCACTGGTTTCAACAACCAGTGAAAAGGCCGTGATATTTTTAATTAAGCATGAAAGGACAAATTATCACAGCCTTTTCACGGGATATTGAAATTTCACGGTCTTTTTCTAACATCAAATATTTTTCACGGCCTTTAGAAATTTTTTTTTTACAAAAGTCACGGGGTATTTTCACGGGTTTTTTACGGCCCTGTGATATTTCACAGACATTTCACGGCCTTTTCATGGGCTGTTGTTACTAAAGCTTGAACACAGGAAAAAAGGGGTGAAAATTTGATTGGTTAACTTCCAGTTATATTTATTATCTTATATGCAATGAAATGTTATGTGAAATTTTGACTGTAGTACTGGACAGGATAAAACTTTACTCATGCCAAGTATTTCTTTATTTGAAACAAAGATAAATTCTGCACAATTTTTTGAAAAATGCAAATTTAACAAAGACTAATAGGGGAAAAACAATGGTGGTATTACACCTTGTAAGTACAAACACGGTGATAAGTCTAATTCGGTAATCACAATTCTAATTTTTTGTTTTATTAGAAAATACATGTACATTTTATGTAATATGTACAAACAAATATCATGAACAAAGAAAATTAATACTTTGTGTAATTGAAGCTTGTACTGAATTACCAGACTAGTTAATTCTAGTTTCTGACATATTCATCTCTCCCAAGTTAAGCCAATTGCCTTAATTTTTTGTTTATAATCATACAAGCCACATATTAAGAAACGGATGAAACTTGTATCAGAGTTAAGTGTGGCGTCCATTTCACTGAACTAGTATACATTATTGTTTAGGTGCCAGCTGAAGCCCGTCTTCGGTTGCAGGATTTTTAACATTATAATATTTCTTGGAAGTATCTTTAATGATTATGCAAGAAACTTTAAAGTCTAGATTGAAATGAATAGTTATAGTCACCGAATGGAACAGTTGTGCATAATTTGAAGAAAATAGAAATGGTTTCCTTCTGTAAATTTCAAATTTTTTTTATGCTATTAATGTCTTACTTTTATCGCCAGTAATTTTTAAAGTAGAATGAAACATGTTAGACAGCCTTAACATTTAGGAAAGGAATGAAGTGCATACCATAACCAATCAACATAGACAAAAAAAAATTGCAAACCCTTTGTGTAAGATACTTTAATGTACCAGAAAGTGGTGATATTTTCAGTTTAATGTATAGATGATTTTGTAGGAAAGTGCAGTAGGAAAACACTTTGTTGCTCTGTCAACTAATTCTGTAAGTAGCAAGTACTACGAAAAAATAAGATAAAAAAATAGATATGGACAATGCCCCTCCCCCATTTTCTGCTCTCCCATATGCATGAGTATAGTTCCACATATTTTAGATTTGACAAGCAGTGATGTTGGCATACAACTTGAAATTGTTACGCTGTCTGTAAGACACAAATGATGCCCCCGCCTGACCATAGGAAATTATAAATTTAACACTATTTATGATGATGTAACTGTAGGAGGAGATAGTCGGACAAACTGTGACCTCTTTATGCAGCTAGTACCAAACAAATGACTAAGTCCAACTACCTGTCATTTTCAGAATATGTAAAAAAAATCAAAATCCTGTGGCCATGGACACCTCCATTATGCGTATGAACATCCTACAAAATATTAAAGCTGTACCTCATAACTGAAGGAGGAGATAGCCGGACAAGCTATGATCTCTTTATGCAGCTAGTACCAAAAAAAAAGACTAAGTCCAACTACCTTTCATTTTCAGAATATTTGAAAAAATCAAAAATCTGTGGCCATGCACACCTTCATTATGTGTATGAACATCCTACAAAGTATTAAAGCTGTACCTCCAAAACTGTAGAAGACGATAGCCGGACAAAAATGTATCCTAATCCGGACGGACGAACGGACGAACGGACAGACGGACGGACAGGGGTAAATTAATATGCCCCCGACATTTTGTCGCGGGGGTATAAAAAGTTATCTATGAATTTGACCTTCTTAATGTGCATAGTATTGATATACAATCTAAAGCACAGTCTTTGAAAGTGCAACAAACTAACAATACTGCAGTATATTGCAGTTTTTATATCACACTTAATACCATTCACATACATATATATGGAATGCTTGCATATAGTTTAAAAGATAAAACACCTTCTTTGCGTTTCAGAAGGGATACATTTTTTAAAAATTAAAATGATAATATTTTTTTATTTTTGCTCATATTGTTTAATTGCTATAGTTTAACCATTCCTGTTTTATAAAAAACATGTGTTGAAAGCAATTAAAAAAAATATGTGAACATCTTGAATTGAAAAAAATGAACATCTTGAATTGAAAAAGGTTTGAAAATTTTTTTTTTTTTGTGAAAATTTTTAACATGTTTAAGTGAAATAGTCTTGGGAAAACTATTTATTTGTAAAAATCTTTAAGTGGATGCATTTTGATAAAAAAAAAATTGCAATATCACATGGTTGTCGTAATATCATCCACGACTCACTCCATACTTACTGTTTGAAATGGACAAAACGGGAAAAAGCTGACAAAAAATCTTTGGACTCTTTTTTTAAATCAGTAATGAATATAGTTGATATACGTATTCAACATTTTAAAGAACATTTTACTCTTAACAATAACCACAATAAACCTATTTCTCGTATCAAACATAAACTAAAAGAACTAGCCAAGGAATTTGTTTTTGTCCCGGCCGATAAAGCTGCTAATAATATTATTATTGTTTGACGTAAATTTTACATTGAGGTTCTGAAAAAAGAAATCACTAATTCACCAACATTCCAACTGACTCCATTTTCAGAAAACGACATCTGTAACAAACATAAACTTTTAGCTACCGCTTTACAAGCAGAACCAAATACAATGAAAGTCCCAACTATGTATTGGCTTCCGAAGCTACACAAAACACCTTACAAATATAGATTCATTTCGTCTTCAAGCCATTGTTCCACTACTAAATTGTCTATTCTTCTTACCAGTACACTTGGTACAATCAAAAACCTGATAATAAATTGTTCAAATAAGGCCTTCGAAAATAGTGGAATTAATTACTTTTGGAGTGTCAAGAACTCGTTGGAAGTACTTGATAAATTGCATGCATATATTGGTGATTTTGAATCTGTTCAAAGTTTTGATTTTTCTACCCTATATACCACATTGCCTCACATTCTCATTAAGAACAAATTCACACACCTAATTAAATGGGCATTTAAAAAGTCAGAATGTGAATATATATGTTCAAACTCTTTTAGGTCATTTTTTAGTAGCAATAAACAAAAAAACTATGTCAATTGGACATGCTTTGATACTATATATGCCCTTGAATTTTTACTAGATAACATTTTTGTTCGCTTTGGAGATTCCGTATATCGTCAGGTCATCGGAATTCCAATGGGGACTAACTGTGCACCACTTATTGCGGACCTTTTTTTGTATTGCTATGAGTTACAATTTATGACAAAAATCAGTAAAGACCCATCGAAACAACATCTGATACACAAATTTAATAATACTTTTAGATATTTGGATGATATTTTGGCTCTCAATAATGACGACTTCAGTATGTATACTAAAGAAATTTATCCTGTTGAACTTACTTTAAATAAAGCTAATACTAACAATGACCACTGCCCTTTCCTCGATCTTGATATCTATATCATTAACGGAAAGCTTAATACTAAAATATATGATAAAAGAGATGATTTTTCATTTCCTATCGTTAATTATCCATTTTTAGATGGTGACGTTCCCTTGTCACCATCTTACGGTGTTTATATATCTCAACTTGTACGATTCGCTCGTGTATGTAACAATGTTTTAGATTTTAACGAGAGAAATTTATGTATTACTGAAAAATTATTACACCAGGGTTTTCGATATCACAAACTAGTCAAAACATTTACTAAATGTTATCATCGGTATAAGGACATCATTCGTAAATATAGCTCAACATGCAGACTTCTTATACATTCAGGTATTTCACATCCAATTTTTTATGAAAATATTCTTTATAAAGCACAAAAATGTCAGTATTCACCTCTGAAACTAACAAAACCTTTAAATAGACTTATTAAGAAGGGATATAGTTACGATACTGTTGTCAGGTCATTAAAGATTGCATATTTTGGCGTTAATATTGATTCACTTATAGGGTCTTTGCATCGGCACTAAACACATGTATTTAAAAACCAGTTGTTGGCATGACACGGGTTATGTTCTTCTCATATATGTTATGATGGTATGATACTAAACCCCTAACGGGAAGGATTGTGCCTGATATTCATATGATGAAGACATAATCTTTCAATCAGTTTAATTGAAGTCTGGAGCTGGCATGTCAGTTAACTGCTAGTAGTCTGTTGTTATTTATGTATTATTGTCATTTTGTTTATTTTCTTTGGTTACATCTTCTGACATCAGACTCGGACTTCTCTTGAACTGAATTTTAATGCGTATTGTTATGCGTTTACTTTTCTACATTGGCTAGAGGTATAGGGGGAGGGTCTCATAAACATGTTTAACCCCGCCGCATTTTTGCGCCTGTCCCAAGTCAGGAGCCTCTAGCCTTTGTTAGTCTTGTATTATTTTTAATTTTAGTTTCTTGTGTACAATTTGGAGTTTAGTATGGCGTTCATTATCACTGAACTAGTATATATATTTGTTTAGGGGCCAGCTGAAGGACGCCTCCGGGTGCGGGAATTTCTCGCTGCATTGAAGACCTGTTGGTGGCCTTCTGCTGTTGTCTGTTCTGTGGTCGGGTTGTTGTCTCTTTGACACATTCCCCATTTCCATTCTCAATTTTATTTAAACAAATTATACTAAATGAAATTCACATTGTAAGAACCCAAATTATTTTTATCTGTTGGTTTTTCTTTTATGCTGATTTTGATTCATTATTTTTCTTTACAGACATTGGTTAAAGCTTTTGGAATTGATGAGAATAATATGTTTGAACTCTGGGATGTAAGTATATTTCAGTTATGTATTAGACGTATTTACACTATTGAGTATTTAGCTGAATTTACTCCGAATGAGCCAAGATCTGTCTCCGAATAACCTCCTGGCATTATGTATCAATCACTTTTTAATTATGACGTGAAATTGTGATTCCAAATTTTATAGTAACTTTTTTGACTTTAAGAAATGCCTAATGGTAGACAAAAGTGCTGTTTTCTGCTCTTTGGTCGGGTTGTTGTCTCTTTGACACATTCCCCATTTCCATTCTAAATTTTATACAATATGTACAAGTGTTAATACATCTATACCTGACTTATAGCAAGTCACAAAACTTTACTTAATAGAAATGGAATCGGAAGAAAGTGTTCATGTGACAATAGAACCAATATTCAAAAATAAGTGTTATGATAAGAATTTCTTGCCTTTGAGATAGGGTAGAGTTAGTCAGTTTGAAATTTCCTGTCTCACCCTATGATGCATGGAAACATTCACACAAGTTGTCCTGATGTTAGAAGGCATAATACATTTGAAATATTGCAAAAATGACCATATCATAGAGTTGCCTCACAGCATCCAACTATGGCATGGTATTGGTTGCAAAAATTTGATATTTTTCATTTAAATGCAATATTTCTTATTTAATTGGTATATTTCTTCATTTAAATGCAATATTTTTTTATTTGAATGGTATATTTTTTCATTTAAATGCAATATTTTTTATTCAAATTGTATAATTTTTCATTCAAATGGTATAATTTTTCATTCAAAGGGTATAATTTTCATTCAAATGCAATAGTTTTTATTCAATTGGTATAACATGTCATTTGAATGCAATATTTTTATATTCAATTGGTATAGTAGTTTTTTAATTCTTTGACGTCATAAGGTCGAATTTGCAACAACGTTTGTGATTGGTCCGAAATTGTTTGGATTTCTCCCCTTTCTTTCTAAACATGGGTGACCAAGAATTAAAAAACGCGTCAGAATATCGCCCCTCTAACTAAATCTAGTTCGTGCGAGTCCTGCACTGGCTGTAAAAATCTTGTGGTCATAACTGGTATTTCTATTGCAAAATTTCGATGGTCAAAACGTTCGGTCCACTTTTAAAAAACCGTTTCATTGTATATGGATTTATATGCAAGTATATCGTTTTTTTTAAAATAGATTAGACACCGTTGGTTTTCCCGTTTGAATGGTTTTACACTACTAATTTTTTGGGGGTCCTTTATAGCTTGCTGTTCGGTTTGAGCCAAGGCTCCGTGTTGAAGACCGTACGTTGGCCTCTAATTGTTTACATATACAAATTGTGACTTGGATGGAGAGTTGTCTCATCGGCACTCATACCACATCTTCTTATATCTATATACAACGTAAACCAGACGTTTCTCAGACTGTTTTCTTTTTTTAATAAATCCTTTGCCGCGCGTTGTGTACTGATTGATAACTCAGTCTGGGAGAACAAGATTTATTTCAGTACCAGTTGTAATTAGGTTTGAGCAAACTTCCAGTAATTGCAAATACTCTTATGTCGGTGTTTTGTGTCTATTGTCTTAATGTTAGTTTTTTTGTGTGTCTCGTACCGATCTTTTGAGTTAATTTGCTGATTTGTGCAGGTTGTTATATTATTATTAAAATTAGGGGGAGGATTGGGATCCCGCTAACATGTTTAACCCCGCCACATTCTGTATGTATGTGCTTGTCCCAAGTCAGGAGCCTGTAATTCAGTGGTTGCCGTTTGTTGCTTTGTTATACATATTTGTGTTTCGTTCATTTTTTTGTACTTTAATTCGGCCATAGTTTGCTCGATTGAATTGTTTTACATTTTTAATTTCGGGGCCTTTTATAGCTGACTATGTGGTGTAGGCTTTGCTTATTGTCGAAGGCCATACAGTGACTTATAGCTGTTGATTTCTGTGTCATTTGATCTCTTGTGGAGAGTTGTCTCATTTGCAATCATACCACATCTTCGTTTTTATATCCACCCTGCCATATTCTTTATTTGCCTGTCCCAGGGATGGAGCATGTAGTTAAGTGGTTGCCATTAATACGGCAACGCAATTACACATTTAAAAAAAGGAATCTTAATGTCAACATACCTGTACTACCTACAATAGAGCCATGTTAGTTTTCTCTAAAACCTCTTGTTCAGTATTGAGCATACTTAATTATTTTTAATGAGGATGCTTGTTAATTGGTGCATATATCACAGGTATTTTTTGGTTGACTGTGGATTAAATATTATATTCGTGGGATGACAATATTCTGTGGTATATGTGAACCACAAATTTAAATGTTCAACAATGTATAAATTTTCTATAAGCTTGTATGAGGGTGTGGATGGGGGTCCTTTATTTTTGTATGCTTTAATTTTTTAGGCATTTTTTCTGTATTCTTTATCATGGTTTTACATTTGGCCTGTAATTCTCTATTCTTTATATTTTATCACCCTATTATTCACTATTCTTTATTTTTTTTGGCCTGTTTGTCTCTATTCTTGATTTTTTTAGCTATTTATTCTGCACATTTTCCCCATTATTAGCTATTCTGTAAACCCCAATCAGACCCTCTTGTATGCAGACTTTGGCAATACCATGAAATAAAAAATCCATGAAAATACATTTTTTTCTTAAATCCACAAAAACTGGAACCCATGAAAATAAATGAATCCACAGTAAAAATGTACAGAGGATGAATGTAGTTGATTGAGAGTGAATATAGAACAAGCAAGAATGAAAGAGCCAGACCTAACAATAATTTTACTGACAAAATATTTATTACATGTAAGTCTTAGGGTCACTACAGTGTGAACATCTTTTTTTATAAACAAAAACTGTCTTGCTCTTTCATGTCTATATACGTAGCCTAAATTGTTTGATACGAAAAAATGTTGTATAATTTTAGTGGGTTGGAGGCGGGTACTCCTTGTGGTCAGCAATTGGTTTGTCTATAGCATTATTTATTGGTAAGTCTATCGAGTATTTACTGCAAAGACTGCAATCTAATAATAACATAACTCTTATTTCTTATGACCAGTAAATTTGTCATACTAAAAATACCACTGATTTTTTGTCTCGCCTGCGATGACAGTCGCAGTATGCGAGAAATAGGTATTACTATCCGGCGGCGGCGGCATAAACTATTTGTATAAAGCTTTATATTTCAGAAGGTAGAAGACCTGGATGCTTCATATCTTGTATGCAGATACTTTTTGTTACGAAGTTTCCGTCTGTCATATGTCCAATGTCCTTGATCTCATTTTTACGGTTCAACAACTGCTTGAAAAAAAATAAGTTTTTTTTGTCATGTGAATTTGTCACTTATTATAAGTAATAGGATAATCATATTTGGTAAATGGGTTCTTTGCAACGTCTACATGTCTGTCAGACAGGGTTCACCTGACCTCGACCTCATTTTATGGATCAGTGATCAAGGTTAAAGTAATTAGGTCCGTTTCTTTCAAATACTATAAGCAGCAGGTCATCTATATGTGGTGTATGGAATGACTGTAATGAGTACATGTCAGTCTGGCAGGTTTCATCTGACCTTGATCTCATTTTCATGGTTCATTAGTCAATGATAGGTTTTTGTGTTCTGCTCTGTTTTTCAAGTGCTATAGGCAACAGGTCAAATATATTTGGTGTATGGAATGATTGTAAGTTGTACATGTCTGTCTGGCAGGTATCATCTGACCTTGACCTTATTTTCATGGTTCATAGGTCAATGTTAAGTTTTTTTTTGTTTTGGTCTGTTTTTCAATTATCATAAGCAATAGGTCAAATATATTTTGTGTATAAAAAAATTGTAAGGTGTATATGTCTGTTTGATTGCATTTATCTAACCTGAGTTTCTGTGATGCTTTTAGTTAAACCTTTATCTTTAAGACTTTCAACATAAAATCAATGGTCTGTTTTTCAATTATCATAAGCAATAGGTCAAATATATTTTGTATATAACAGGTCAGTAAAGCAGGCGAGACATTTCAGCGTTTGTGCAATCTTGTTTAAGTTTATTTGATGAGTATTTATAATGTATTCTAAGAAAACTTACAGTTACTTTTAAATATATTAAAAGTGACACGCTGATGAATTGTCATGTCCAATAGTATAGTACGGAGCTCTCTGTCATAAAACTTTACTCAGCACTCGGAGTACAGAATAAATGCATGGAACACCAAATCCAGTATTTTTTTATTGGTTCAATTCTGAGTACCATAATTGTACTCCCAAATTTTTATGAGAGCAAGGCCTGATCAATACTTATAGCAAATGAAATGAATTTATGCAGTACTTAGTGAGCACTAAGAACATGAATTAAAATGCATTATATTATTGCTCTTGTATAAAAAAAATCACCTTTTAGAAGGGTAGTGCAGGAATTCCACACTAGATTCAACACAATAGGATAAACTTATATTGAGCCATGGATATAACTATATATACCATTTAAGTGCATATTGTTACAAATAATTTTGCATCAATAGGAATGGATAATTTTGAAGAGTTACTTTCTGGTGGACATTTTATGGATCAGCATTTCTGTACAGCTCCTTTAGAACAAAATGTAAGTACGGCAATGGGAACAGATTAACCAGTTCTGGACAAAATATATGTCTTAAAGTTTAAGTTAGACAATGTTCAAAGGCAGTCACTAATCATGTAAATGATATATCTGATAGTCAAAGCTATATATTTTTCTAGAAAGAAAGAACTATTCATATAGATCAAAATAGAATATTGATGTTAAATTAAATTTAGATGCTTAAACTGTTGCTTTTCTTCATCATGTTCATGGAAATGAAACTTTGTGATTTGTAGGGCCAAACCAGTGTGGGTTGTTTTAATTATTAATTGTTTATGTCCCCGCCGTGGCGGAGGGGCATTAACTTGTGTTACCCTTGTCCGTCCATATGACTGTCCCTACGTCCCAAAATTAGTTTCCGTTCTCTTACTTTAATTTACCTCAAATGTTATGAAACTTATACGCAATGCTTATTACCACAAAACACAAATCAAGTTTGAATTTGGGTTGCGTCACTTTTACTGTTCTTGAGTTATGCCCCTTTATAATGTTATATGCAAGAGGGGGCATCATCTGTGTCCCATGGGCACATTTTTCATTTATATTTCTTGTCAATGAGTCTTATTTTCTTATAGAAAGAGAACTTAATGTTAGAGGATATTTTACCTTTTTATCTTAAACCGAATGTTAGCAAAAATAAAGCTCTCATAAACAATTCAAATATTAGAGTAACGTTTAAAAAAAAAATATGTATTCAGTCATTACAAATGTGTTATATGGTTGTCACTGATGATCATACACATACATATATAAAGTTATGTTGCAATAGGAGTATTGAACAGTTTTAACCATGTCTTTTCAACATTAACATGTTGCTTCATTGTTTTAGAAATGGATGATTTCTGTATGGTGAATTTAAAATATACAAGTTAGAATTTAAGCATTAACTTTTAAATGAAACAATAATTGCATGTTCAAATTATTTTATTTTACTGAATAAACCATGCAATAATTACTGTTACCATGGCTACTTGCCAGTCATTTCAAATTACTCAAAGTAAATGGTGCAATAATGTTTACCATGCTTACTGGATAATTGGGGCAATAATTTCTGTTTTAGGTACCAGTCATTTTAGCTTTACTTGGTATATGGTATAGTAACTTCTACAAAGCTGAAACTCAGACACTTCTTCCATATGATCAGGTTAGTAACATGAAAAATTCGTAAGGGTTCCGCGGAACCCAGTGTCTCGCCTACTTTTGCTGTTAATCGCAGGCTCAACAAAAATGAGATGAGGAAAAAATTTAATAAAAATATTCCTCTCGATACAATTTTTTTATTGTAAGAAGCTTTTGTCCAAGTTTGGTAAAAATCCAGGATAGTTTATGAATCTAATAAATGTTTTAAAAAATTTAACTGCAGGCTGTATGTAATGTTAACTGGAAGAAAAACTAAGTCCATTTATAAGTAAAATATGGATAAACAAGTACAAATAATAATTTTAATAAAAATTTCCTTCTAGATACTAGCTTTTGATCATAAACAAACTTCTGTCCATGTTTGGTACAAATCCAGGATAGTTTAAGAAAGTTATTAAAATGTTTAAAACTTTAACCACAGAGTGAATGTAATGTTTCCTGGCAGAAAAACTAAGTCCATTTATAAGTAAAATACGGAAAAACAGGATTTTTTTTTACAAAATTTACTTCTGGATACTATCTTATGATCATAAACAAGCTTCTGTCCAAGTTTGATAGAAATCCAGGATAGTTTAAGAAAGTTATTAAAATTTCAAAAACTTTAACCACAGATCAGAGTGAATATTTGTGGACTCCGACGACGACGAGAAATTAAAAGGATCTAGCTGTTAGAAAGCCACCCATCAACACAATGAAGCAAAACAAAAAGTATTGTTTACAATGTAGACACAGATGCACAATACAGAGAGAAGGGAGATAAGTAAAAGTTTGTCTCAAAGTAGCAAACTTGTGTAAATTACAGACAAACTGTATTGATTGAAATAAGGGCTGTTCCAGATTTAAATATATGGGGGGAATGAGAGGCACTTTTTTTTTGGCCTTTACCACCCATTATATAAAATTTTCATTTTACTTATAATTCTTATAGATTTCTAAAGAAAATGAAACCAACCACAATCTAATAATTTTATTGCCTCCCATTTCACGTGTGTTTAAATCTGGAACAGCCGTAAGCATTTTTACCATTGATACACACACACATATATATATAGATTTACTGATTTCTTACAGTATATGCATAGATTTGTAGCTTACTTCCAACAAGGTGATATGGAGAGCAATGGTAAATACATCACCAGAAATGGACAACGTGTGGATTATTCCACTGGTCCTGTTATTTGGGGGGAGCCAGGTACTAATGGTCAACATGCATTCTACCAGGCTATACATCAAGGTAATTATAAGAGCAGGGCGTTTTCTGATCTAGTTGATAATTATGGAATACCATAGAGATCCAATTGGGAATTTTCTATCAATAGAAATCTCCTGTAAAATTGTTATTGATCATTTGTCCAGTTGTAAATTGTGATAGTTAAGAAAAAGTATGTGATTCTTTCATCGAGTTTTTATGCCCCCGCCGTAGGTGAAAGTGTCATTAAGTGTTACCTTTGATTGTCCGTCTTTCTATCCTTCCGTCTTCTTGTCCGTCTTTCCCATTTTCGTTGCAAAGCTTGAGCGGGGGCATTCTTATCCTTAGACACATACTTCTTTTATTTTTTTGACAATTTTGATCTTGATATAATATCGAAAGAAAGACTGTTCTGATTGAAATACAGATACCCTGTCCTTGTTTCCCTTACAAATATCTAACAATGCCCACTTTTACTTTCTGGTTGAAGGCCTATGGGGATGTTCTGGTTTTGTCCTAATGAAACACACCTTCAAAAAATTGGCTGACATAATAATTACCAGAACAGAAAGTAGAACGGAGAGTTGTCAGATCCTTGTAAGCACAGCATGGACACAGGATCTGTATTTAAATCAGATTTATAGAGCTGCTTAGGTTTTTATACACTGTAATAGTTTGTGTGTTCATAAGATATGGCGTTAATAATAGAAATAGAATATCATAGCTATTTATATGTATTGTCAGGTCAGGACAATACCTAAAATAGAATGGTGATATTGTAAATTAACTGAAATTTTATATTGTTTCATTTGTTTTTCATAACAGTTACACAATAAAAATTTCAAAAATATTACCAATTTGATTGCAGTGGAAATTGCATCTCTTTGTATTTAGAGACAAATTTGTATTTCTTTTTTTCAGTCATATTATATACCATTTTGGAATAGAAATAGCATTAGTGCATTCTCTTCTTGAAAATACTCTTGTGAGAGTACAAAAGATAAAAAAAAATTACTCCACAAAATATAAAATTATGAAATAAAAATAGACTGGAAACATATCCTGACTTAATTTCATAGTTTCATTTTAAATATTGAAAATGAAATACACTGACTTTCGGTCACCTTTTTATTTCAGGAACAAGGCTCATACCATGTGATTTTATGATGCCAGTAGAAACTCAGAATCCTGTACAAGGAGGCCTGCACCATCAAGTAATGTGTTGTTTTATGTTGTCATCTGTAAACAAACATATATGAACTACACATGCTAGGACCATAAAAAAATAGTTGTCTAATATTTATGACATTGAAGAAAAAAATGAAGCAAGCTATAAGGCATGAACTGCATTTTGGACAAATGTAACGTTTCGTTTTAGGAAATTCATAAAAAAAACTAATAAAGCAATAGATAAATTGTAATACATGAATAGAGTTTTGATAGTTTTCATATTTTTATGGTCATTATGTGGTACATTTGCATTGCACATACCATCAAAGTCTTTATAAATTATTTTGCTGTCAACAACTTTAAAACTTACAATATTTTCTATTAGGGCCTTGATGATTAATTGGCTAAAACCCCCTTGGAGTTGGGTTATGAAAATTGACATGATTATTCACCACTAGAAGGGGTGTCGAGTATAAGAAAAACCATATGGTGAAAGTCATGTTCAAAAACTTCATTCAACTAATTAGTTTCCCATGTGCATATGAGCTCTCTTATTTTAAAACCCTTAGAGTTTGGGGATGAAGTAAGTCGTAAATCAGTAAATTTTCTGCCTTCCTTGGGTATATGCTTTGATAAAATGGAACAACCCTGATAATTTCTAATTTGCATCACAATTTACTTGTTTACTTGAGATCTCCATACATGTAAAGAAAGAAGGAAATTATTAAACAGAAATTTTATTATTTCAGATTTTGATATCCAATTTTCTGGCCCAGACAGAAGCTTTAATGAAAGGAAAGTCTAAAGAAGAAGCTAGACAGGAACTGGTACAATCAGGAATGGGTGGAGAATCTTTAGAACATATACTGCCTCATAAGGTCAAATCTTTAGAACATATACTGCCACATAAGGTCAAACCTTTAGACCATATACTGCCTCATACGGTAAAATCTTTAGAATACATACTGCCTCATAAGGTCAAATCTTTAGAACATATACTGCCCCTTTAGGTCAAATTTTTGTCTTTAATATTGAAATAAGAAAAAGATGTTCTTCTTTTATTGAAAACATTAATCTCTTTGTGTTTTTTTTTCTCATTATAATTAGATTTGATCATTGAGAAAATGGAAAAGTGGAAGTATTTGTTATTTGAACAAGATATTTTAAAAAGTACAGTTTTGTCTCACTTGCTACAGAAGTCACAGAATGTGAAGTGTGCTAATCCAGCATTGGCGGCATAAATCATTAGTATAAAGCATTATATTTCTGAAGGTAGAACACCTAGATGCATCAAACCTTGTACATAGATGGCCTTGCATTACAAAATTTCTTTCTGTCATATGTCCATTCCCCTTGACCTCATGTTCACGCAGTATCCGGAACTGATTAAAAAAGTGATTTTTGTTTAATTTTTCACTTATTGTGAGTAATAGGATAATTATATTTGGTATTTGGGATCCTTGCAAGGTCTACTTGTCTGTCAGACAAGGTTCACCTGATCTGGACCTCTTTTTAAGGATCAGTGATGAAGGTAAAAGTTACACATTTAGGTCCCTTTCACAGGAACTATAAGCAATAGGTCAACTATATTTGCTGTATCATCTTACCTTTAACTCATTTGTATGGTTCATTGGTCAATTTTTAAGTTTTTCTGGTTATATAAAAATAAGGAGATGTGGTATGATTGCCAAAGAGACAACCATCCACCAAAGTTCAAATGAAGTGGATGTAAGCAACCGTATGGCCTTCAGTAAAGAAAAAACATTATCGTATGGTTGGCAATAAAAGGCCTCCACATGAAGAATATGAAACAATTCAATTGAGAAAACTATCGACCTAATATTTAACAAAACAATTTACGAAAAACAAATATGACAGACATGAACCAACGACAACCACTGAACTACAGGTTCCTGACTTGGGACTTGTGTCTGTTTCTATAAGCAATAGGTCAACGATGTATGACAATGTTTTAGATTTTAACGAGAGAAATTTATGTATTATTGAAAAATTATTACACCAGGGTTTTCGATATCACAAACTAGTCAAAACATTTACTAAATTTTATCATCGGTATAAGGACATCATTCGTAAATATAGCTCAACATGCAGACTTCTTATACGTTCAGGTATTTCACATCCAATTTTTTATGGAAATATTCTTTATAAAGCACAAAAATGTCAGTATTCACCTCTGAAGCTAACAAAACCTTTAAATAGACTTATTAAGAAGGGATATAGTTACGATACTGTTGTCAGGTCATTAAAGATTGCATATTTTGGCGTTAATATTGATTCACTTATAGGGTCTTTGCATCGGCACTAAACACATTTATTTAAAAACCAGTTGTTGGCATGACACGGGTTATGTTCTTCTCATAAATGTTATGATGGTATGATACTAAACCCCTAACGGGAAGGATTGTGCCTGATATTCATATGATGAAGACATAATCTTTCAATCAGTTTAATTGAAGTCTGGAGCTGGCATGTCAGTTAACTGCTAGTAGTCTGTTGTTATTTATGTATTATTGTCATTTTGTTTATTTTCTTTGGTTACATCTTCTGACATCAGACTCGGACTTCTCTTGAACTGAATTTTAATGTGCGTATTGTTATGCGTTTACTTTTCTACATTGGCTAGAGGTATAGGGGGAGGGTTGAGATCTCATAAACATGTTTAACCCCGCCGCTTTTTTGCGCCTGTCCCAAGTCAGGAGCCTCTAGCCTTTGTTAGTCTTGTATTATTTTTAATTTTAGTTTCTTGTGTACAATTTGGAGTTTAGTATGGCGTTCATTATCACTGAACTAGTATATATATTTGTTTAGGGCCAGCTGAAGGACGCCTCCGGGTGCGGGAATTTCTCGCTGCATTGAAGACCTGTTGGTGACCTTCTGCTGTTGTCTGTTCTATGGTCGGGTTGTTGCCTCTTTGACACATTCCCCATTTCCATTCTCAATTTTATTTTTTACAGAGTTTGTCTTTAGTGCCGTGTGGAGACAGTAGAGTGCCTCCCCGTGCTTCAGGTTTATGCTCTTATAATATACTAGATTATGGAGTGTGTGTCCGAGCGAGAACTTCTCTAGTTCATTACTTTAAGAATATTTATCAAAAAGTAGTATTTCAATATTCAGCCCCATTCTACTATTTAGTCATACGTCAGTCGCTACCCTGATATACCCTTTCTTTTTCGGGTAATTAATACGGATAGCGTTTGACATCTTTAGCCGAACAGATTTGTCATTTTTACATAATTTAATTCATTGTATGCTGGTTCATATTTTGGACGTCAGTCTTTGCTCCTTTCTAATATAATTCACAAACAAAAAACAAATATGAAGCTTAGAAATGAAAAAATATTAAATACTAAACTCGTTCAAAGGGTATCTACACGTCTCAATCTTCAAAATCGCTTATCTAAAAATACTACTATCGCTGACATTTTTAACAATAAAAATCGTGGTTACCCTTCTATCGATAAGTGTCATGCCAAAACATGACTTACATGTCCCCGTCTTTCCACCAACAATACGGTAAGGTCCACGTTTAATGGTCGCACATTTTCTTTAAATTTTGAAACTGATATAACTTGAAAAACAAACAGTATAATTTATTTACTCACATGAAACAAACCGGGATGCGGTATTCAGTACGTAGGTGAAACTGGACGATATTTGTCTAAACGCACTCAAGAACATCTGTATCGTTTTAAAAGACCCAATAAATTCAAAAGTATCATTTATCAACACCTTAAGAAGCACAATCATCCTATTAAATACTTAGCAGTTCAACCTTTAGAAGTAGTAAATAAGCAGCCTGGTGAATCTCATTCAAAGTTTGTACGATCGCGGAAAATAATTGAATTAAATTGGACTAAAAAATTACAGACAGTCTACCCTCTCGGTCTTAATGATAATATCATGGGAATTGGTAATATATCAAGAACCGATTCTGTTAACATTTTGGATATAGTTTCTAAAACTGTTCGTAAAAACCGTTCTCATGGTCGTAGAAAAAATCACAATCAAAGAAAATTTCGGACCATCATACCAATTTTTCGGACCTAATTTCTATTTCAAAAAACAACGGCAGACATTATCTGTTAACAAAGCTCTGTTCATTACCGGTTCATAAGTTAAATAAAATTTAAGAGGATTGCAACACAATTTCATATAGCAGTCCTAAGTATGAAATCGTTCAAATTATAATGGCATATTGTTATTCTAAACTCTTTCCCAAAATTGATCGCCCTGAAGATCATAAACAACAGTTTATTAAAATAAAGTATGTCAACAAGGGTTTTGATTTTGTAAATATTGCCGGTATTTTTAACGACCATTCTGTTAAAGAACAAATTCCGGGATATTTTGATAATACTGAGCTCCCTCTTATTTGTTATATTTACAAGAAATCTACCCGCAAATTTGTGTTTAATTATAGCCAATTGTGTAAAGATGTTAATATCAGTGAAAATACACCTACTTCATGTAATTGCAGTAATTCCGAATACATTTATGGACCCATTTCCCATGTTATAACAGGAGATCTTAACATCGTTCAAGACCGAGAGTTAAAATCATTCCTCAGTAAAGGACCTAAATATCGTCCCCCGTCAATTATTAATTGGAATGAGTGTCGTAATATCATCCACGACTCACTCCATACTTACTGTTTGAAATGGATAAAACGGGAAAAAGCTGACAAAAAATCTTTGGACCTTTTTTTAAATCAGTAATGAACATAGTTGATATACGTATTCAACATTTTAAAGAACATTTTACTCTTAACAATAACCACAATAAACCTATTTCTCGTATCAAACATAAACTAAAAGAACTAGCCAAGGAATTTGTTTTTGTCCCGGCCGATAAAGCTGCTAATAATATTATTATTGTTTGACGTAAATTTTACATTGAGGTTCTGAGAAAAGAAATCACCAATTCACCAACATTCCAACTGACTCCATTTTCAGAAAACGACATCTGTAACAAACATAAACTTTTAGCTACCGCTTTACAAGCAGAACCAAATACAATGAAAGTCCCAACTATGTATTGGCTTCCGAAGCTACACAAAACACCTTACAAATATAGATTCATTTCGTCTTCAAGCCATTGTTCCACTACTAAATTGTCTATTCTTCTTACCAGTACACTTGGTACAATCAAAAACCTGATAATAAATTGTTCAAATAAGGCCTTCGAAAATAGTGGAATTAATTACTTTTGGAGTGTCAAGAACTCGTTGGAAGTACTTGATAAATTGCATGCATATATTGGTGATTTTGAATCTGTTCAAAGTTTTGATTTTTCTACCCTATATACCACATTGCCTCACATTCTCATTAAGAACAAATTCACACACCTAATTAAATGGGCATTTAAAAAGTCAGAATGTGAATATATATGTTCAAACTCTTTCAGGTCATTTTTTAGTAGCAATAAACAAAAAAACTATGTCAATTGGACATGCTTTGATACTATATATGCCCTTGAATTTTTACTAGATAACATTTTTGTTCGCTTTGGAGATTCCGTATATCGTCAGGTTATCGGAATCCAATGGGGACTAACTGTGCACCACTAATTGCGGACCTTTTTTTGTATTGCTATGAGTTACAATTTATGACAAAAATCAGCAAAGACCCATCGAAACAACATCTGATACACAAATTTAATAATACTTTTAGATATTTGGATGATATTTTGGCTCTCAATAATGACGACTTCAGTATGTATACTAAAGAAATTTATCCTGTTGAACTTACTTTAAATAAAGCAAATACTAACAATGACCACTGCCCTTTCCTCGATCTTGATATCTGTATCATTAACGGAAAGCTTAATACTAAAATATATGATAAAAGAGATGATTTTT